GGCCGCCGGTCCCCATAGGTCCCGCGCTCTGACCCCGAGGGAGGCGCGCGCCGCACACACGCCGGGGATGGTTGGTTGGTTGGTGTGTTCGTGTGTCCCAAACTCGAGTCTCTCGTGTACCAACCGAATTCTCGCTCACACCTGTGTTATTTACTGGAGATTTTTTTTTTTTTCTTGAAATTGACTCACTTGAAAAAGCACTTGGATAAGTGTCGCCCACAGGAGCGAAGCCCTGAGCAGTTACCTGCGGAATCTTGGCTTGGATGGACCGATGGGGGGTTTTTCTTAATACACCTTTAAAGTAAATCATCCGATGTTAAAAACCAAGCGGTTTAATTGTGTGCCGTATGGAACTGGCTCGTGTCCCCCACGTGGGAAGCACAGCCCTGTATTAATGATGACATCAGTTGGGGGGATTGGGTGTTCACTCCTGTCGTCCTGGGACTTGATGACAGTTCGGTTCAACCATGTTTTCTTGAGTACCGGCTGTGTGCCAGGCACTGTGCTAGGCACTTGGGAAGGGCCGGGGGTTAAAATGGTAACGATGAACAAAGTTCTGGCTTTGAAGGAGCTCATAAGACACCTCTACCAGGGTGGGGCAAAAGTAGGTTTCCTGTTGTGAGTACCGAAACACAACTTATTCTTGTATTAGTTATTAATTGTAGGAAACCTACTTTTGCCCTACCCTGAAAGTTAACTGCAAATATAGAGAACGTTTTGTAGTTGCAAGTATGATACTTCAACATGGTAGCTTATTAGGATGGAAAATGTATTGAGCAAGTAATGTTGTCACCAGACATGTTAGTCTGTCCATTCATGCTTTTAAAGATTTACAGTTAAGTTGAATTTAGAGAACAGTTTGAAAATGTATAAACACCATAAATATATAATAAAAATTAGATGTTGTTAAAATGAAAAGAGCATAACCTATAAAAGTCAAGTAACGGAAGATACACTTTAAGCGAAATTCCTTTGGTAACAGAAGTGAACATTATTGACACCACCTTAGAAAAATGTACCTTTAATGAATTCTGGAAGGGAAGGATAGAAGTCCTCAATCCTAATATTTTGCCAGAATAGTATAGTAAGAAGATGGTGCCCAATAGAGCTCTCTGAGCAACATATCTACTGAACATAATGGTAATGCTACTTTGGAGATATTTTGGATGATGGGTTAAATTGGTGAATTCTAGTAAGTAATCTCTATACTCTTCCATTTCCCTCAAGGAAAAGCATACTTTTAGAGAGAGAGAAAGAGAGAGAGAAAGAGAGAGAGAGAAATAAATTATCCACCTACTGATTAGCCAGAGAGGTCTTTTTGTGAAGTTGTGATAGGGTTTTGTTTTAGCTATACAAACGTTGGGAAGATACAACTTTGGTATATAAAAAAAAAAAAAAAAACTGTTCAGAAACAGGTTTGGTTTTTACTCCAAACCAAGTTGGAAGACAGGTTCACTTTAATTGTAGTCAGCTTATGTGTTATTTAATACTTATTTGATGAGTATTATGCTTGCTGTGGATTTTATTTGTCCATTGAGTTTTATTAGATGCCAGAAAGCTAAACTGATGGTTGATTTAGCTCTCAGTTGAACTGTGGTGGACTTTTTGAAGTGAATGTGTTGTTTTGGAAACTGGTGGATTCTACATTAAGTGTTTAGAATACCAGTCCTAGTTGTTTAGGAGAATATTGATATACTGCTCTAATAGTTAAATGATGACTGCTTTTCCCACTTCCTTCACAGATTTAGAAGTCAGATTGTAAATATGAGACCTTGACTTCCCTTGAGGAAACAGATTTGGGTTTTGTGTACTGTAGCAGAACCTAAAGTGGTGCCTCAAGGAGTGTATTTATTTCTTTTAGATACCCCATGTTACCCCATCACCAGAGGAGTCTGGGCAGAGACTGGACTACACCGTGGGAGAATCTGCAAAGGTGTTGCTGGAACAGACATATTTCTAGTTGTATGAGGTGGCCTGGACATTATTCTCGTGCTCCTTACCCCTACTTCAGTAGTAGGCATTTCTCGTTAAATTGGAGACCACCTTGTTTGTTTGAGTCTAGAACTCAGTTTCAGTACTGGAATTGGAGACCTGACAGCCTGAGCCAGACATCTTTGATTCATCTCTCTAGTTCCATCATGAGCTCTGAGGGAGATGAGCCTTCATCAAAACGGAGAAAACGCCAAGGTAAAGGTGACATTTATCTTGGTGCAGAAATAGATGTAAGCCATGGACTGATTCAACTTTCATGCCTAATCTTCAAGAAAACCTCCTGCAGGTTTTAGAGGTGTTTGGTTTTTACTTTCAGCCGGTAGTTTTCTCTAAGGAAAAGGGACATTATTTTTTTAAATGCAGTTATTCTTATCTTCAATTAATTGTGTATTTCTGGCAGGAAAAACAGAAGTGACTCTACAAATAGGATAAGGTGGAAAAGAATGGAGGACTAGATTAAAACATTAAGTTTAATTGAAGAATAATTTTTAAATCCAGTGTTTTTGAAACAAAGGTTCTTAGATTTCTTAGAAATTGGTGGATGTATTATTGGGAGTCCACAGATCTATAAAACTAAATTTCATGTTTTCATTTTTAAGCTAACTTTTTAAAATGATAACTTTTAAAAATAAGACAAAAGAATTTTCTTAAATAGAAATAATCAGTTGAAAGATAATTTCTCACAGAATAGGATTTTACCTTATGAAATCTGTATTTTCATCCTGAGATGAAAATACAGATCCATTTGATCTAATCTTGAGAGGCTGTGGGAAGTTTTATCTTTTAAAATACCTTATTCAACTTTAAGAAACTGTTTTTTCTAAATATGTTGGTTATTCCTGTTTTTCTCATATTTTTACTCTAAACAATTAACAAGACTCCCTCTATGCTGCCAGTCCTAACCCTGCCCCCAAGGATATAATTGGAATTGTCTTCTTGACTGAGCTATGGTTTTCGATGAAGATGATGCCTCTGAAGATAATTGAAAGTAGGCTGTGTAGGTGTTAATGTGTAGAGAGCAGACATAACTTTGTCAAAGGAAGACATTAACCTGGAAGTCAGAGCTAGAAGATTAGTTAGTGTTCTTTTAAGAAGAAATTCTACTACACATTTAAGTAGAAATTCTAAGCACTCAGAAGTGAAAATCTATTTTCACTCAGAAATGAGAATCTATTAACCACAGTTTGAATCAATGAAAGATTTAGAGGCATTACAATTAGTTTCCTAAGAACAATCCATAATCTGTAAATCCAGGGCTATATGATATGAGATTGCTTTTCATTGATATATTCATCGCCTATTGAGGCAGCACACTTCTCTTTTGTAACCTGGTAGCTGTCAGGTGGAGCTGTGCCATGTGCCATATGACATAAGCATGGGCTTAGGAACCACTCCCTGCTGTCATTCTGTTCCACCAATTGTGTAAACTTGGACGGATTATTGAATCTGCTCCTTGGTTTCCTAGTGTAAAGTAATGCTTACTTTCAAAGCCTGTTGACAATGAAATGATATGTCAAAGTGCCCAGCATACTGTTGGCTTCATAGTAGGTACTCAGAAAATTGTGGTGGTGGTGTTTTCCCTTTAATGAATGGGGAATTACATTTACACACTGATAAACTTGGATTGCAACCTGACTCTCTATATGTCCATTCTTCCTAGGTATTGTGAATAAGGAAAATGCTCTTCGTTAAGCCATATTTGTGACTTCCGATATTTCACTAATACTTTTCAATCAAGAGAACAGCATTGCTAACTTGCCTATCACTTTAAAGTGGTATTTGAAGGATTTGTGTGACACAATTAAGACTTTTTAATTAGGCACCCTAAAAACCTGATCAGGCCTAGTGCTTACTTTCTTTGATTCATCTGTCTTCTCTGCTGTGATCACCTTGTTCCTCCTGACATGGAAGGTATATAAGCTTTTGTGGTATGAATTTATGTTGTGAAGTATATGAAGGCCAAAGACTATTTACTCCATCAGTGGTTTTCAAATTGTCTTCCATGGAACTCTAGCATTCAAACACATTTCTGTATGTTTATTCAAAGCAGTGTGGTCAGGATAAATGTATTTACCCCATCACTCCACTCCCAGTCCCAGTATACCAGGGATTGATGTTCATGACATGAAAAGTAATGCTGAAGGGTTGTACAAACTCTAGAGGTTGAAAGCCACTGTATTGGTGGAATGTTAGGTATTGTGTAATACAATAAAATAAAAGCCTTCGTGCAAGAAAAGGGAGAGATTCTAGGGCTGAGATTTCTTATATTATTGAATCATACTTGGAAGTCCATCTCCTAGTTTATTTCTCCAAGGTCTTCCCATTTCTTGTTTTCTCCTTCTTTTGAGTTCATACATTCTCTAAAAGTTCCACATTTTTCTTCATGGCTTCCAGGCCGTTAAAGTATGCCCTTCAGTGGTGGGATAAGGGAGACAAGATGAAAGGTGAAAACATATATATGGTGGTCATTTCTAAATCGAGGACTGCCTGTAATTGCAAAATCTCATGCTTTTTGATTCTCTTTTCATCACTTTTTCAGGGTACATGATGTCTTTGCAGAATATAAATCATCACACATTCCTGGTTGCTGCATGCTAGGTTCGTCAACCAGCCATTATCATTTACCAGCATTCTGTAACTATGTTACATGTATTTTTTGCTTTGGTATGCATTAAAAAGATTTTTTTTGTTCATTTTGTTTGCATCGTCCCACTTCAGTTTTAGACACTAAATACTGCTTCTATATATTGTCATTATACACCCTTCATTTGTGTCTAAAGCAAAATTCTGAGATGTGTTCTTTATGGAATCACTGGATGATCTTATCTTACTAATAGGGAATAAAATATGTGAAATGATCTTATTGGAAAGCCAGCAGTGACATACAAATATATTATTATGGTTACAAAGTTGCTAAGTCACTTTTTAACCATAAAGAAGTGAGAAACCACACCCCTGTATAGTCTTAGTTTTATTAACACACACTCTTCATCTCCAGAATGACTTGCTACATCCTTTTAACCTGTTGTGTACCTCTTGTCAGCCAGTATTTCATTTTACAGCCTTTTAATCAATTTGGTGACAACTTCTGGTTATTCAGTGCTATATTGCCATTTTCTATGGGAAAACATTGTGTTCATTGCCTATGGAAATTTTTAAAAGGCAAGAAAATACTTATATACAAGAAAACATATGGCCTGTTTTTAAAATTAATTCTTTATATTTTGTCCAATGTTTTAACAGGCACCATCAAACGGCATTGGGAATATCTATGTAACCATAATAAAGAAAATATGAAGATTCTAGGAGACAAAAATGTTGACCCCATATGTGAAGACAGTGAAAACAAGTTTGACTTTACAGTGATGTCCTATAATATACTTTCACAAAATTTATTGGAAGATAATTCACACCTCTATAGACACTGCCGGCGACCAGTGTTACACTGGAGTTTTAGGTTTCCCAATATTCTGAAAGAAATTAAAAACTTTGATGCAGATGTAAGTACAAAATATCTAAATTCTTCACACAAGTAAGAGTTGGGTTAAATGGTTTATTTGTAAACTAAATGGTTTTCTCCCTGTTGTTTTGTAAGAAGGGAAGACATTTAAATATAGTGATGGAACAGTTTTTAACAAGGTATCATGACTTCCAAAGAGTCATTTGCTAATGGTTGTTGGTATAAATAATCATCTAACTTTTCAAAAAGATCCAAAAATCTTTAGTATTGGTCAGTTCTGAGATAGGGTCTAGCAACATATTAAGCATTTAGTAAATATTTCCTTTTATTTTAAATTTAAGTAATTGATGCAAAAATTAATCTAAAGAGTGACTTTCAAAGAAATCACCTCTTAAGAAAGGACAAGAAGAATTTAGTACTAATACATGTATAAATTCAGGGAAAATATTCTGATGTGTAAATTAAGAATATAGTAAGTTTTGTATAGTAATAAAGCTTCATGTGATTAAAGGCCAGGGCTTGGGGCACTGGTCATATTTGGAAATATAACATTAATTTGATTGACCTGTAAATTATAAGAAAAATAAGGATTTTGCAACTTTCATCAGGCTTTTAAAATTTTAAAGCCTGTGTTCAGAGATAGAGCACCAGAACATTTCTCTCTCTTTCTTTTTTTTTTTTAATTCAAAGCCTCTTTTTTTCTTCCAAGGTACTTTGTTTGCAAGAAGTTCAAGAAGATCATTATGGAACAGAGATCAGGCCAAGTTTGGAATCGTTGGGTACAATGTAACTTTTATTTTAGCCAAATTTACTTTGGAAGATTGGTATGTTGTTAAAGCATAACTTGCTAACAAAGAAGTGTGGCGTATTTGGGCCAAAAATCTTAATTTTGAAAAATGTAATACCTATTTCAAAAGGCCAGGAAAAGATTGACGTATTTCAAGCGAAAACTTTTGTGCTGGTATGTAATTTTAATTCAAAGGGAAAGATGTGTAAGAATCTCTTAATAGCTTCCTTTGTAGGAGTTGCTTTGCCCATCACTACTAGACTCAGAATTCTGAGCTCCATGAGATGAGGGACCATTCTGTTCCGTGGTCGGCAAACTGTGGCTCGCGAGCCACATGCAGCTCTTTGGCCCCTTGAGTGTGGCTCTTCCACAGAATACCACGTGCGTGCACGCACGTACAGTGCGATTGAAACTTCGTGGCCCATGCG